GATTTTTAATACACGCATTCTGTTCACATTTATTGTGTTAACTAATATACTTAAGATATGTGTTTATTTTCTGTATCAGGGATGTGCTTGATCAGAAATAACAAATCACAAAACTAATAGTTGCTTAATTAAATACATCTTTTATATTTGTGTTATCTTATTTCACTTAACTGTGGAACTTTATTTTTGGAGGTTCCTTGTTTTTCTCAAATGGCAAGAAATCTGCCAGTGTCCTGAGATGGGTGGCTTAGTTTAGTTGTTAACAAAATCTTTCAAGGCACATTTTCTTCTGTGTCTGCATCCCTATCCATTGCTTGTAGAAGTCTTTCAGCAGTCTTAAGCCTCACTTTCTCATTCCACATAGGAAAAGGAAATGGGGTAAAAGACCTAGGACTGAAGCACTTTGAAGAAGCTTTACCTTTTCTATGGAAACTTTTGCTTGTATCCCTTTTGTCAAAAACAAGGACATGGGCCAGGGATTTAGTTCAGTGGCATAAGCACCTGCCTGACAAGTGTGAGGCCCTGAGTTCGATCCCTGGTAGCAAAACAAAAACAAACAAACAAAAAACCAGGGACATCTAGTCATTCCTAATTCCATTCCTGATCGCCAATGAGAATAATATTATATGTTCAATTTAGAGACTGAGTGCAAGATGGAAACTCAGTTTTTCTGAATGTTAGAGTTTCTTGCTGCTCCCCAAACAATTGGAGTTCTACGGAGGAAGAAGTTGGCCTGGAGTAGATGGTGGGTGGGAATTGATAATGTTTGTGGTTATTGTTTTACTTTTTTTGTTGTTTTCTCTGTTAATCAGCTTTTGATTGCTATTACAAAATACCCAAGAAAAATGATTTAAAGAAGGAAAGGTTTATTTCGGCTTGTGGTTTCAGAAGTCCAGTCCATGGTCAGCCAGCTATTTCTGGACTACAGGGAGGCAGAACATCGTGGTGGAGGGCAGTGGCGAACAAAAGCTGGCTACCAGAGGGAGGAAGTGTCCAAGGACAAAATATCTCCTTCAAAGGCACGATGCCAGTGACCCGCCTGCTCCACCAGGCTCCACACCCTGCAGGCTCCATCACAGCTCAGCGGCATTAGCAGCTGGGGAACAAGCCTTCAACAGATTGAACCTTCATGGAATATTCCAGAGTCAAACCATAAGAACCATAAGACTCTGCTGACTTTACTTAATTTGTAGATGTGGGGAGCCTCATCACTTACTCCCTACGATTAACGTGAAGTTTTATAATCGCCTCCCTGCATATATTAGTCACAATTAAAACCATGCTCCTCTATAATTATATTGCTTTTAACATATCAAAAAAATCTCATGTCCCTTCTAGTTAAGGGAATCAATGTTGCCATGTGCAATAGGTAAACCATGAAATTTCAGTGGATTGATACAATGAAGGTTTATTTCTTGATCACATCACAGTTTGATGTTGGTTGGGTAGCTTTTCTGTGTGACTTTCTGTCAGACACTGACTCATGGCTCGAACTGCTTTTTCCCCTTGAAATGCTGTCAGTTTGGAGACATTTATTTCCAGCAGGGTGGACCAAAGAGAAAACGTGGAAAGGCTGCCCTCTGCTAGAAGTGGGCCAGTCACTTACCCTTGCATTCTGTGGACCAGATGTCAGGGTAGGGCCCAGGGGACTAGAAGCACCTGAGGGAAACTTTAGCCTTTGGTGGGCTCAAGATGAGGACTGTGCATAGTGGGCATAGCACTGCCACAGACTGTCATCCTAATCCTTTACATACTTTAATCTTCTTCATGTGAAATACACTTTCTCCTTCACCCAACCACTGCACTGAGCTCAAGGTCTGTGGTTGCCAAGGTTCTGCATTAGTCTCTACCAGGCTTAGTACAGTATGAACACAGCCATTTGAACAGCTCATTGCACTTAAGACACAACATACAGTGCTTATCCAGGGCTAGGCATGCCTAAGGGCTCTAGGGAAAAGGGGAACATAAGACACACAGTTTGTAGCACCCTGAAACCAGGTGAGTCAGGTTCTGAGGGCCTCTTGCCTTGGCAGAATGTGTCTCTGTCCTCAAGCAAACTCCTTCTTCATCACGACCCTCTTTGGTCTTCCTGGAAGTGAATTATGAGGACCAGACTTCCTTGGACCAGGGGAGCCTTGTAACCTGCTTCCTGATCATTGCAGGTGAGCATCCAAGGGCTTTTTGAGTCTTTAATAATCAAACACTTTTTAGTGCAGAAAAACTTAGGAGGTTCCTCACCTGTTTGATTCTTTGTCTCAGGAATAACTTCTAAAATTCTTTTCTAGATGTTGTCTCACTTTCTTTTGCCTCTTAACCTCTATGCATCTGCAGAGCACGTACTTTGAAGTTCTCATAAGACTCTGAGTGATCATGCTTTTCATGTGCTTGGTCAGACTGGTTCCTCAAAAGAGCACAGGCCAGGGTGGAACTTATTATAAGAGGGATTAATTAAGGGCCATGCCCCTGTGAGAAGGTGGGCAGGAGAACGGAGGAGGCCACAGTGCCGGGTTGATCTTGAGTGAAGGAGAGAGGAGGGAGGTTGGAAGAGGTGTTCTAGAGAGCCATGCTGTACAAAGGAGGTCCCACAGGGGATGGGTGTCTCCCAGGATGAGAGTGGCATGTTGAAGCCTGTGGCAGCTCCCGGTGGCAAACACAGGGATCTTAGACAATAGATTCCCAGTGTCCTGAATAAAGACTAGAGAAGGATGCCAAACTGAACTGCAGGACCACAGATTTACTGAAAGTGAAATTTGCTAATTAAAGATGTGTGAAGAAACACTGGTGTCATGGCTTATGTCAGTGGCCCCCAAGACTCATGCAATTATGGATGGGACCAAATATAGCACTTGTGATTGGTTCATTGTCTAGCGCTTGGATTGGTGGTGTGAGAGTTTCACCCACTCAGGGGTGGAGCCAGGATATGATGTATGGTGGGAAGAAGGTGTGTGTCTCTCTGTTGCCAGTTTGCAGTTTGCAGTTTGCTGTTTGCTGTTTGCTGTTTGCAGTGGCTGTGAATGGCTGCCCTGCTATGCCATGCTTCCTTGCAGCCAGCTGAATATGGACTGAAACCTCCAACCTGTAAGAAATAAACCTTTCCATCCTTCATTTTGGGTGGCAGGTATTTTGTCCCAGCAACGAGTAAGAAGTGGCTAAGGCAACTGGGAAATCAAGACTGGGAGAAACTAGATTTAATTCCGTCTAGGGACAGGCAGACTGAGATCAGAGTGGTATCAGTGAATATCTGGAGGGGAGGTTGTGTATATATAGGTTTGGGTTTGGGGGTTGGAGTCTCAGGGAATCTGGATGGAATGTTTGAGGTCAAGGTACAAGGACCATCTGCACAGGTATGTGTCTAATTCTGGGCTTCCAGTGTCAGGGAGACTTCGGGTACCATCCTGAATTTCTTTGTGGCCATCAATTCTTGTTTGCTGAGAGCAGCATGGATTGTAAGGTCTTTCTCAGGGGGCGGGGGGGGAGGGCTGACAAAATTATAGTCAACCAGGTGGTGTAGGTCAGTGAGAAGAACTCATGGCCCTGAGGGGTCTAGGTCCCAAGGGTTTTAAGCCTTAGGATGTGGGAGGGACTGAAAGTGGTCTGAGTTTTTTTGCCCTTGCCCACAAGTCATTTGGTTCTCCTTCTCCACTGGGCAGTAGCAGTTTTGACCTTCTGCTGCCCTCAGAGGAGCAGTTGTTGCACTCAAAGCCTTGGGGGTGTGGCCAAAACTGACCTGGTAATTAGGGCTGAGGTTGGCCCAAGCCTGCTGAAGACCTCTGGGCAGATGCCCAGAGACTTACTGTGTATAACCTAGGTTGCCTACGTCTGCCTCTCACTGTAGTTAGACCTGGGCATCCAGGCCTGAGTTAATGTTTAACTTGGAAACAGTGGAGCTAGCCAGGAAAGAAAGCTCCAAGGCAAGCTGTTCCTTCTCTCTGTGATCATCTTTAGCTACCACTGGGGCTGGCAAGCTTGGCCACTTAAGTTGGGAGTCCATGCAGCGCATCCTCAAACCACCATAATGCTTTGTGTCCTAGGTCATCTATTCACTCAGAAGTTCTACTGGCCTCTGTCATAAGGCACCTTGAATCATCCCATCGCTCCAGTTTGGGCCCTAGAAGAATATGAACTGGTTTCTGGAGTTCTACATTTTTATTTTGTCTCTATTCCTTTTCATTTTTAGCTTCAAAACACCCAGTTATTCAGTGAACTCATTTCTTTAACACCTTGTCAAACACAGCCATTAGCAACCAATACATGTTCCTGAGATTTTGTTTCCCAGCTCCTTCCCTCAGAATGACATGTCAGGACACATGAGGACCCACCTTTCAGGTGGTCATGTTTAGCACATTTGTCAAATGCTTTGCCTCTGCATTACATCGGTCTGAGTCACTCAGCCGCTGGCTGTCACTCACCGCCGACTGCCAAGGCAGTAACAAGGAACTCAGGTTTGTGCCAACAGCACCCTGTGTTTAAGGCAGTCTCTATTTTACTCACAGAACGTCGTGGAATTGGTTGCAAGAGGCAGCCTGAGAAATCTCAGGCTGGATGGAACGCAGATTTGTCTCTTGCTTGTATTACTGTCTGATGTCGCTCACGGACCCTCAGGCACCAGGCTGCTCGCTCTTGCAGTCCACAACCTCTGTTTCTCTTTCTGGCAGCAGACAGCAGGGAAAGTACAGAGCAGGGTCCCAGCTGCCAGCCACCTAGCTCAGGAGTGGCACAAGTCACTTCTCACAGTAGTGCTGCCTGTTGCTTGGAGTCCTCTCTAACAAGCAGCTCAAGAGGGTTGGGTCTCAGGTCCAGCTTTGGCCCTGGATGCTGTCCAGCAGCCTGGATGGGCTGCTGTGCAGCTCCCTAGAAGGAAGGGAGGTAAGGAGGGCAGGGAGGAGCCCTTGGGTTGCATCTCCCTGGGAGCCTCTGCTGGATGTTAGGCATTATGGCTACCTTAGCTCTTCCCTTACTGACTAAAGAGCAGATGTGTTTCTCCTCCTCCTGTATGGCAGCCAGCAACAGGCACATCCAGTGGCTCCTGGGAGCAGACGGCGAGGTCTGGGTCTGGGTCATGGGAGAAGGCCCTGGCGACAAGCCCTATGAAGAGATCTCAGAGGAGCTGATTGCTGAGCAGGCACGGCTACAGGCACAGAGGGAAGCTGAGGAGCTCTGGTGAGGGGTGCGGGCTGAGCTTGGGGTGGGTTTGGAGGATGGGAGAGGGCAGGAGGGAGGCAGGAGGTGGCAGTCACCTGAGCCCTGCTGAGAGGAGGTGACCCCAGCACTGGAGTCCATGTCAGCTGACCCAGCGGGCTCAGATCCTGGCTCTGTGGACTGGTAGTCAGCTGACCTGGGGCTGAGCTTACCCATGGTGGTGTGGGCCTGGAAGTTCCCTCCGGCCCCCTGTCATGTGAAGGCCTCCCCCAGATCCGTACACCATGTGTACTTGCTTTGCTCTCTTGTGGCTGTCACAGGCACGGGAGAGCAAATTGGATTCATTTCTGTTCTTCATTGGCTCCTTTCCTGTTCCCATTTCTCACGGAGAGGGACAGGTGAGACCAGGTGAGGTTTGGAGTCTGCCTTCTTTCATGGACACTAATGTTTCCACCAGACCTAGAAATCTGTAATGAATGGACTCCAATGCCTCCAGCCCAATTTTGAATGACAGTATTTTAGTTGCAAAATCATAAAGACATGTAAACAACATTCAAACTTACATAGAATAAATGAAAGAACAAACCACACCCATCACCTAAGACAACCACAGTGAGCATTTAGATGACATATGCTTGTAAACTGTTTTATTCACAGCTTCACAAGTTAATAGATACAAATCCACATGACCATTGAAGATTATCACATTCTATTATATGGGAAAACCATCTTATTGGTCCTATTGATAAATATTTGAATTTCTTGCCCTTTTCTGCTATGAATATCTGATGAACATTTTCTTCATGCCCCTTCGTACACTCGAGTGAGATATGGGATTTCCCAACCTAGTGTTTGGTGCTTCCAAAAAGGATTGGCTGCTCAGCACGTCCTATGTGAGAGTGCTACTTCTTCCATCCTTTGCCAAGATTGAATTTTGTTGATCTTCAGTATTTGCCATTCTAAAAGCCAGGAGAGATTTCTCTCTGTTGTTATCTGAAGTCCATAGTCAGTATTTGCTATTCTGGAAGCCAGGAAAGAGTTCGCACGGTAGTATCTGGAACCCACAGTGATGTGGCCCTTCAGGCTTTCACTTAGGCTACTCTTGCTGGTGCTTTCTTGAAAGGAGACAGAAGGAAGCAGAGATCACCAAGAAGTTCCGGGATGCTCTGGCCAATGAAAAAGCCCGGATCCTGGCAGAGAAGTGGAAAGTGGAGATGGAGGACCGCAAGGCTGCCAAAATCCTGGAGGAACGCATCCATGAGGAATTCAAGGTGGGGCGGGGCAGGGCCCCTGTGTGTAGATGTCTGCTCCAGTCCTTGAAGCTGCTGGGGCTGACCTCTGGCTTGGACCTGTCTCTGGCCCTTGGTGGTCAGTGGGTGCTTCCTGAGAACAGAAATCTGGCATGTCTGGGCAGGGGAGAACTTGATGTAACGATTTGGGCTTGTCCACTTCTCAGTGCACAGAGGAAGAAACTGGGCTGTCAGATAGTGGGAGAGAGCTTCCAAGGCTTCAGGTTGCTGGGGACAGTGTCAGGATCAGAGCCAGGCTTCCACACCCCACACCAAGGGTCCTGGAGAGAGGCCTGGCAGGCCTGGGTCTCTGGTCAGGCCACTGTGGGACCACGCTCTTCCTGTCTTGCTTACTGCTAGTGACCCTGGGAAGCTCACCTAACTCCCTGAGCCATCACTTCCCTTTTGCTAATAACTGGGCAAAGAGAACATTCTGCTTGAGTCATTAATGAGGATTTGGTTGATAGAGAGGATTTAGATATTTGTACTTAGATATTTTGGGGGCAAGGATAGGGAATTGTTTGGTAGCTCTTCATGTCTACTTATTCTGTGAGACCTTGGCATCGGAGAGGGGCTTTTCTGCTCTCTGGTAGGAAGTTTAAATTATGGACACACTTTTTTCTTTTCTTCATTCTGAGTTATTTTAACCTTTATTTATTTATTTTTTTGCTTGTTTGTTTTGGTATAGGAATAATACATCTTATAGTATAAAAACCAAAGAAAAGACAGACCCACAGAAATGAAAAAGATAATTGTGCTACATGTCAGTGTTGTATTATTTTGTGAGTTCAGTGTCACAGACAAATACAGCCAGGCGTGAGTTAAGGCTGTGAAAACAAACTTTCCCCCAGTGACTGTTGCAATGGAGAGATAGAGAGCTGGTTTCCAGCTTGTGCAGAGGCCATGTGAGTGTGTGAATGGGGCAGAGAAGTGGAATGACATATGCTTGTAAACTGTTTTATTCACAGGGAGGGAGAGGGAAGAGCAGCTTCGCAGAGAGTTGGAAACAATGCATCAGGCTGGTCAGTGTGGATCCACCAACAGCTGTGTCTGCTGGGGCGGGTGCTCAAGTCTGGGCTCTGTCCTGTCTGTGGGCAGAGACTGGAGAGGGCAGACCTTGCTTTCCCAATGAGGATATCTCAGTGGGATGGCCCTTGAGCCCTGGAGAGAGATGCTTCTGAGTTGTGAGAGATGCATACACAGTACCGGGAGCTCCTTCTAGCAAGTGCTCCAGGAAGGGCAGTGAGGGCCCAACAGTTGGGCTGGTTAGGTCAACAGAATGTCTTTCTGGTCACGCTGAGCTTGTTCAGGCAGGTGTTTAACGGGATCTGGAGTCACCCTTGGCAGACTGACCTCTGGTCCAGACTTTCAGACCAGGATTGGGCAGGAGTTATCTGTCAGTATATTTGTGGCATTTGCCCATTTAAAAATAGTCCTTCACCTCAAAATGACTGGATAGTGAGGACACTAGTTTTTTAAAAAATCATTTATGTTGCAAGAATTTTTCTCTGTTACTGGGTTTTTTCTCTTACTTATGGTTATAGTATTTTCAGATGTGCAGAAGTTTAAAAATTTTATTCACCAAATCTTTATCATTTGTTCTATGCTCAGAAAGATCTGTGTCACCATGAGTTTATAAAAATACTAATCTGTATCTTTTATATAGTTTTCATGATCTTATTTCTGTGCGTTAAAAAAATTTTTTTTTGCCTTGCAGAGTGTAATGATATAAGACTGTGGCTTTATTTTTTCCCAAATAGTTAGCAAGTTATTATAACATCCTTTATAGTACAATCTATCTTCTCCTTTTCTACTGGACTTGATTGATTCCTTGATTGGAATTTTACTGTTTACATAGTTCTGGACCTTTTCATATGTTATCTTCTGTGATTTATTGTTTCTGAGCCACACTTACCTGTTTAATTATTGTAGCTTTAAAATACATTTTTGTATGCATTGTTAGTCTTCATTTTCAAAATGTGCTTGGCAGGGGTGGGGCTGTAGCTCAGTGGCACATGTGCCTGCCTGGCATGTATGAGGTTGTGAATTTGACCCTCTGATACCAAAAATTAAACACACAAATAAAATGTCCCTGGCTAATCTTACTCATTTTTTTTTTTTCCTGCTAGGGGAACTTTTGAATCATTTTATTCCTAGTCTTTCCCTCAACTGCAAAAACTACGGTGATTTTCACTGGTATTGCTTCAATGTAAGAGCTGTGTTTATGAAAAATAGAGAATTTTTACAGTATTGAATCATTGAATTTCCTTCTTCAGGAATGTGATATATTTCTTCTGTTACTTAAAATTGTTCATCTTTGTTAAAGTTTATTAAACGCCTATAAAATGTACTGATCACCTAATGCTGAATATCTTCAGTAATTCATAAATAATTATATAGTTCTACATTTTGGATCTTGGTAAAATTTATTTACTTTGGGTGTTCTACATTTCTATTTTTAATTAAACCTTAGGGTTAATATTGTTCATTGCAATTTTGAATGAGGTCATTGATAGATCTGGCCAACAGTGACCTATTTCCCCACCATTGTAAAAGCCCAAACATAGGGACAAAAGGTCTGTTGCCACATTACCTTACCACAAGAACAAGGAAATACTCCTTGTAACAGAAAGCGCCACTGCCAAGCTCCTCCAGAAAAAGACATGTTTCATGGAAAGTACAAGAGCCACCCACAGCTCTCAGCCCATGACCTAAATAATACCTTCCCTCCCCTTTGACTCCTGATGAAAACCCTACTCAGCCTGGCCCTGAGCACCTTGCTGTGGTCTTCTGGGTGAAGAGCCGCTTCTGTATCTTTTGATTAAAACCTTTCGTGTGGACCTCCCAGTGTGTTCTGGTTCTTGGCATGGGGTTCAGCTGCTCTATCAGTCATCCCCATTAGTTTGCAACTATTGCATGTGTTGATTTATTTTTATGTGAGAGTATGTATCAGTGTCTGTATATATGTATATAGTTACTGATTTCTTTATTTAACTTTCCATGAGTTGTAACTTTTCAGGGAAGATTATCTTGAGTTTTTAAATAAAGCAATTAGATATTATATTTTATTAAATTTCAAACATACAAAGAACATGAAATAAATATAGAATTAATACTTATATTTTCCACTCAAATTTACAGATTACTGTTTTGTGAAATATGCACTCTTTTTCATGTGTATGTATACACGGTGTATATGTACATACACATGCAGTCAGTCTGTCTGTTATCTATGTCATTGTTGTTTTGCTGAACAGTTTGAAAGACAGTTCTGAAGATCATGACATTAATCACGTGTTAGCAAGCTAGTTCCTAGAAAGGCCTGGGGGAATATTTTAGGCAGTGGGGCAATTCCACCGAGGTCCCACTCCTCTCTCTGCCCTTGTAGCACAGCTGCAGCTCTATGGAAAAGAATGCACGCGCTGAGTTCCAATAAGACTTCACTTTTAAAAACAGATGGAGGCCAGATTTGATCTGGGAGCCTCAGTTTTCAGACTGCTGGTAAAATCCTAAGAACCCTTCAGCTCGCCTCTCCTACGTGTAAGGACACTGCTCTGTGGAGCCACAGTGATTCTTGTCACATGCACTGAAATCCACCATAATTCTGCAATGGATGTCCAACCTAATCCAAGGGGAGAGATGCTGACATTGTTGGATTTTGCTTGTGACTATCTAGACTGCTGGGGAGGCCATGCTACTTTTTTTTTTTTTTTATAACTCTATCACTGATACTCACTCGTTCCATTGTGGTCTCCCACTGCCCGCATGAGGCTGAGCCCCAGATGCCCAAGGACAGTTCAGGGCAACTGGGTCATAGGCCAGTTCACATGGAGATCGTGGAGGGACTCAGTTACTGCTGGAGATCTGATTAGTGGATCTCCTTGAAAGCCTTGATGATAGAAGGGAGAGAAATGGCGGGGTTCTCAGCGCCAAGGGCTGTGGAGAGGTACCGGGTTCCCATGCAGGCATCTGTTGTTATTTCTGAAGGAAGTTATAGTTATAATGTGTTTGTTTTGTCTTAAAGACTAACTTGGTAGATGGAAATGTTTCTTCTTTAGTGGAAACAGCCGTCCTGATTTGTCTTCATGTGGAAGAGCCAGCTGCAGGGGGTCTCCAGGAAGACCGGAGCTGGCCGGTCCAGCTGTGTGTGCTGGGGCCTGCTGATTGGATTTGTCCTTAGTGTGCTTTCCTTTTGCTGTGTCGAGTTCTTTATCCCAACAGATTATAAGCACAGAAGGAACCTTATCTGCAAATGTTTCTGTGGTGGCTTGCATAGGCTGGGCAAATCCTCTGACACGTCCCACTTTGGGAGTTGGGGTTGATTTCCTCTCCCGTTGAGGCAGTGCTGGCTTTGAGACTGGCTTCGATCTGGAGAAAAGAAATGATTGTACTTTCAAAAAATTTCTATTGAAAATTTTTTGCAAAAATTTTAAGAAGACATCTATATATACAAAAAGGCATAGAAAAATAACAGAAATATTTGGCCATCTAAGTCACAAATTAAAAACTTTGATATTTTCCATGTTTGCTTCACATTAAAAAAATGATGCTAGGGCTAGTGGTGCCTGCCTGCAATCCCATCCACTCTAGAAGCTGAGGCAGGAGGACCTCAGTGTGAGGCCAGCCTGAACAACTTAGCAAGGGAACTTTTCTTTAAATGAAACAACAAAAACAGCTGGAGGGGTGGGTGGCTCAGTGCTTCTCGGGTAATATCTCTGTCTATCATCTATCTATCTAATTGCTGAAGCTACTGACATCTCACATTGCCATTTTTTGTCCCTGCCTCCTCCTCCTTAGGAGATGGTAGCCACTCTCCTAAGGTTTGTACTTTATAAAATGCGTAAATCTGTAATGACTTCTGGTGGTTCATGGTTTATAAATTACATAAACATCTAAATAAATTGTCCATCATAATACTCAGTTTTTTTGGAAATCTCTTCATCCTGTGCAGTTATTTCACAATTGGATGCTTTGAAACAAAA